TTGGGGCACAGGTGTGTTACAGCAGCAACAATTTTACATCTGTTTGCTGTGGCCACCTGGGCTCAAATTTTACTGTACACCTTGGTATGCTTGTTTGTCTTTGTGTCTATGGTATATAATGATGTGATTGTGATGCTGTAATTCTGAGTGTTTTATGTGCTGCAGAACAGGAACCTGCTGTAAAACAGCAATTATGCTGAGTCAGGCTTGATTTTTAGTAATCTTTTCTTGTTAAATCAATAAATCAAATCAAATCAAATCAAGGTTGCACAGAGACACGTATGGACATTCAAAGATTTCTATTTTCATAAWGAAGTTTTAAAAAGTGCCAAGTGAAATAAAAGAAATCTCATTCAACTCTGAACATATTCTGCAATGGGAGCATGTTTGCTGTGTATAATTGTAGCTTCTCATAAAGACAGGGAGCTAAAGACATGAAGGCGTCTCTAAGAGCTACTTCTAGACACAAACATACACATTCAGTGTTAAAGTGCACAGAAATATTCCTGCCCACAGTTCCTGTGGTTTGCATCACATCACAGAGTTTCTGACATCTGGGCTGAAGTCAGAGATCTGAACATAAATGTTGGTAACCATAGCTGTCATCTCACAGTTCCAGATCATGTTACTGGTCTGTCCTGGTAAACACAAGGCTCAGCAGTCTCTAGTGGAATGAACTTCTGCACAAATCTGCTGTGAGACGTGACTCAGCCCTCAGACTCACACTATGCTCCAAGTTAAGAAAAGGAAAATGTTTTCTCAGGTGTGCACCTGCACACATCAAAGAGTGGATATATTGGCTGCTTTCACAGGATCCTGATTAAAGTGAAAGAGTAAAAACAGAATATAGATAAACCAAAGTTCACTGTTAGACCTACAGGGCAGCTGGGGGTCAGGCAGCAGAGGGATCTGACCAATACAAGGCCTCATTGACTCCCATTATATGAATTTTGGAATAAAGTTTAAACATTTATATTTCAAAAACTACAAGTTGTACAGGCACCAAAAGGCATAGCCATCATTTGGCACAGGACCTTTGCAGATACAAATTACAATGGCAGCTCTAGGACAAAGTATGCAGGAGTAGTAGCGTGACTAATCAGAGATCAGATCCTTGGATCAGTTCTCATGACTGATAAAACCAAACCCCAGAGTAGCTTTGGGTTGAATTATAAAAAAATTTATAATGATCTATGGATCAAAACACTTAATGAATGAAGACTAGTCACAATTACAAACACAGTATGGAGCCTAACCAAGGAATCCAAACAAGCTTTGAAGGTCATTCTTGCTATGATGAATAAGATAGTCATAAAAACAAAAAGAAGTGTAAGTGTAAACAGTGAGACAATTTAAGTTTTAGTAAAACAAATTAATAAATGTATAGACTAGGCTGGATTTTTAAAAACCTAAGTGGTTAGTTGTCCTCTAATCAGATAGTTGGCAGTTTGCTTCCCTGCTATTCAGTCACATGTCAAAGTTTCCCTGGGCAAGACAATGAAGCCCCACTACCTCTGATGTGTCCCACCAGAGTTAAAACACAGATTAGTCTCTATAGATTGGTTGATGTCTCTTTWCATTAAAGGTTCTCTTGGACTGACCCTTTACCAGCACAGGAGACTATACCAGGGGCTAATTCTGAGTACCCTTCAGGATCATGGAGGTACTCAAATCCCTCTACCACGTTAAAGTGGTGATTCTGTGGAGGTGTCTTGTTCACAACTGATGGTAGGATGGGAGCCTCATCCTCAATAATGAGTGTGTTGTTTTGGTCGATTGTGGTGAAGAAAGAACTGAGTCAAAAGGTAAGCTCTCAGTTTACTGGTCTGTCTATGTTTCAATACTATTCCAACTATGGTCATGAGGCGTAGATCATGAC